TTTCAGTTGATTAATAATGAGCAAGGTGGATGAAACAATAACATTTTCAGTCCAGTAAGCAGGCCATCCTCGTGTGGATGGCCTGTTTACTGGCCTGACAGATAAAAGTGGAAGGGGCAATGGCAAGTGGGCGACAGACAACTGGCACCAGACACGTGGACAACAAAATAAGAGACGAATAAGAGACAAAATACAAAATTTTTTGTTTTCTTCATAAAAATCGCCATTCTTTTCTGCTGATCTGCTACCCAGTAAATTTAAATAAGATTTTTTAAGAAACAAGTTAAAAGAACAATTTTATAATTAACAAACATGTTTATACATATTACATATTTTTCTATTTACTTGTAAAATTCCACACCTCAAACAATCTTTACAGCTCCAGTGGTATGTGTTTACACCTTAGCAAACATTTTCAACCAACATACCACTGGAGCTGTAAAGGTTGAGGTGCTGAATTATAACTCCTCTAGTGTTGGAAGACGTTTATTTCTTACTTGTAAAAATAAATATCGACCATTCTTCAAGACTATCTACCCCAAATTTAACAAATATACATAAAAACCAAGACAATTACATAAAATATACTTTCAAAGAAATTTTAAAAAATTTGTTTTCATCAAAAAACCACATTTTTTTTTACATGCTTTGTTAAACATTTCTGACATACAATAATTAACGATGCTACAATACATTGTTCCAAAACATTTTCTTTTCCTAAGTTGGAAGTAACTTGTAATGTAGTGTATAGTTCATAACTTATAACTCATATCTTGTAAGCCTTAACCATATTTATATATATTTTACCAATATTTACAAAAATAAATAAAAAATACCTGCTGAATCGTATGCTTGCTAAGTGTGCAAAAATTTTTAAGTTTGTCACCCAGATGACTGTTGCCCACTTGTCATGTACCCAAAACACCCTTCACTTTTATCTGTCCACTGTTAACGATGCATTAGTTAATTCTAAAATGTCATATGATAGTCACTTCATAATGTAGTAATAACTCAGTCTTACTGAACAAGTTGTATTGACATTTGTCATATACAAACATTGTATACCAGTATGACACAACATGACCACTTACATTTTTATGTTCAATACACAACCATTCAGTCTTTGGAATATTACTTGGCATAAGCAAATGTTTGACCAAAATGTATGTTAAACTAATAATTTCTGTTGTTGTTGTTGGTCCATATTCTGTAATCATAAACTATTAGGGTTGAGTGTTTCAGCCAGCAATTTCAACATCCAAAGGTTAATGCCTTTTATCATTGTTAACCTAAAGACAAAAGTTGTTGTGTTTGTAACATAATGAAAAAGGAAATATTGTATTGTTAGTAATTTTAATGTATTTACAAGTATTCATTCATATGCCTGTGTGTTCTTATTATACAGTTTATTATGTAAGATGTTTACTAGGACTTATTATACTGGTGACCTGGTTCCATAAGTCACCAGTATAATAAGTCCTAGTAGACATCTTACATAATAAACTATTTAGAAGTATATTTGATGAAAGAATTATAGGCAGTTTGGATATGTAAAAGTATTCTGTGACTGAAATGTAATCTTTATACATCAGTAAATTCATAGATTGAAGAGATCAAAATGTTACATCAGCATGAAATGTATGTGCACTAACAAAATATAGTTAATTATTTTGTTGTCATTAATCTTTTGATGTTGGAATTGCTGGATGAAACACTCAAACCCTTATAGTTTAGGATAACAGAATACAGCACCTGAGTCACAAAAATGTAGTAATATCTGACTGAAACTTGAAATAAAAAACTCAAAATTTATTTTAAAAAGTTTTTTGAATGAATTTATTCATTCAAAATTCATTTATTTATACAAATTGTTAATTTAGAATTATCGTCCATAATTTGTGAAATTTTAAACTATTCTCTCTAAATAGTGGCAGTTTTTAGATTGTGCCAAATACTTTTCCCCAAAGCCGTAAGGTCTCCTTGTTAGATAAATGGATTTTGATTATCTTTGGTGTAGAGGTTACACCATGTGAGTGTACTACCTGTAAAATACTAAAGTGCAACACTCAAATATAATCGAGAAAAACGAACTTAAAGCTTTCTTTAGCACTTTATGTATAAGTTGTGTGTACTCCACTTGAGCGTGCTGTGGCGTGAGTGGTAACGCTCCTGACTCATACGCTTGCGTGCTCGGGTTCGATTCTCTTCTTGTGTATACTTTTTCCCTTTTTTTAATTCATAAATACTTATAATATACTGTACGAGTAGAAATTAAATTAAAATAAATAAATAATAAAAAAATACCAAAAAAATCAATAAATTTATTTATTTACTCATTCATTTATTTATTATTATTTATTGATTTTTTTGGTATTTTTTTATTATTTATTTATTTTAATTTAATTTCTACTCGTACAGTATATTATAAGTATTTATGAATTAAAAAAAGGGAAAAAGTATACACAAGAAGAGAATCAAACCCGAGCACGCAAGCGTATGAGTCAGGAGCGTTACCACTCACGCCACAGCACGCTCAAGTGGAGTACACACAACTTATACATAAAGTGCTAAAGAAAGCTTTAAGTTCGTTTTTCTCGATTATATTTGAGTGTTGCACTTTAGTATTTTACAGGTAGTACACTCACATGGTGTAACCTCTACACCAAAGATAATCAAAATCCATTTATCTAACAAGGAGACCTTACGGCTTTGGGGAAAAGTATTTGGCACAATCTAAAAACTGCCACTATTTAGAGAGAATAGTTTAAAATTTCACAAATTATGGACGATAATTCTAAATTAACAATTTGTATAAATAAATGAATTTTGAATGAATAAATTCATTCAAAAAACTTTTTAAAATAAATTTTGAGTTTTTTATTTCAAGTTTCAGTCAGATATTACTACATTTTTGTGACTCAGGTGCTGTATTCTGTTATCCTAAACTATAAGGGTTTGAGTGTTTCATCCAGCAATTCCAACATCAAAAGATTAATGACAACAAAATAATTAACTATATTTTGTTAGTGCACATACATTTCATGCTGATGTAACATTTTGATCTCTTCAATCTATGAATTTACTGATGTATAAAGATTACATTTCAGTCACAGAATACTTTTACATATCCAAACTGCCTATAATTCTTTCATCAAATATACTTCTAAATAGTTTATTATGTAAGATGTCTACTAGGACTTATTATACTGGTGACTTATGGAACCAGGTCACCAGTATAATAAGTCCTAGTAAACATCTTACATAATAAACTGTATAATAAGAACACACAGGCATATGAATGAATACTTGTAAATACATTAAAATTACTAACAATACAATATTTCCTTTTTCATTATGTTACAAACACAACAACTTTTGTCTTTAGGTTAACAATGATAAAAGGCATTAACCTTTGGATGTTGAAATTGCTGGCTGAAACACTCAACCCTAATAGTTTATGATTACAGAATATGGACCAACAACAACAACAGAAATTATTAGTTTAACATACATTTTGGTCAAACATTTGCTTATGCCAAGTAATATTCCAAAGACTGAATGGTTGTGTATTGAACATAAAAATGTAAGTGGTCATGTTGTGTCATACTGGTATACAATGTTTGTATATGACAAATGTCAATACAACTTGTTCAGTAAGACTGAGTTATTACTACATTATGAAGTGACTATCATATGACATTTTAGAATTAACTAATGCATCGTTAACAGTGGACAGATAAAAGTGAAGGGTGTTTTGGGTACATGACAAGTGGGCAACAGTCATCTGGGTGACAAACTTAAAAATTTTTGCACACTTAGCAAGCATACGATTCAGCAGGTATTTTTTATTTATTTTTGTAAATATTGGTAAAATATATATAAATATGGTTAAGGCTTACAAGATATGAGTTATAAGTTATGAACTATACACTACATTACAAGTTACTTCCAACTTAGGAAAAGAAAATGTTTTGGAACAATGTATTGTAGCATCGTTAATTATTGTATGTCAGAAATGTTTAACAAAGCATGTAAAAAAAAATGTGGTTTTTTGATGAAAACAAATTTTTTAAAATTTCTTTGAAAGTATATTTTATGTAATTGTCTTGGTTTTTATGTATATTTGTTAAATTTGGGGTAGATAGTCTTGAAGAATGGTCGATATTTATTTTTACAAGTAAGAAATAAACGTCTTCCAACACTAGAGGAGTTATAATTCAGCACCTCAACCTTTACAGCTCCAGTGGTATGTTGGTTGAAAATGTTTGCTAAGGTGTAAACACATACCACTGGAGCTGTAAAGATTGTTTGAGGTGTGGAATTTTACAAGTAAATAGAAAAATATGTAATATGTATAAACATGTTTGTTAATTATAAAATTGTTCTTTTAACTTGTTTCTTAAAAAATCTTATTTAAATTTACTGGGTAGCAGATCAGCAGAAAAGAATGGCGATTTTTATGAAGAAAACAAAAAATTTTGTATTTTGTCTCTTATTCGTCTCTTATTTTGTTGTCCACGTGTCTGGTGCCAGTTGTCTGTCGCCCACTTGCCATTGCCCCTTCCACTTTTATCTGTCAGGCCAGTAAACAGGCCATCCACACGAGGATGGCCTGCTTACTGGACTGAAAATGTTATTGTTTCATCCACCTTGCTCATTATTAATCAACTGAAAGGTATACTATATTGCTTAATTAACTACATAGTTGCATTGTTATATAGTCATTGGAAAGTTGGGCAACACGTAACACATGCAGCAACAGCTAAACGATGCTTGACTTAATGATATGTAATTTATCAGTGAGTGGAGTGATACTGCCAACATTTTGAGACCAAATAACTCATAAAGGATTGTATTTGGAACAAATGTGCATTAGAAGTTTTGATAGAAGAGTCAACAATCGTGCATGGGACACTTGTCTTACTGAAGTCTGAACTATAATCTTAGCTTACAGTAATTTAATGTTATATAATTTTATAATAAAATGAAACTTCTCTTAATCTTGAACAAAATTTCAAATCGTCTTTATTGATGTGCTAATTTGAAAGCAAACAATTAATAAAATATTGTTCACATTTCCAGAGTAAAAAAGTCTTCACTATAATTGTAATGTAAATAATAGATATTATAAAATTGATATGTAAAATAAACTAATAAAAGTACTTAAAAAATAAATTACTATACTATAATAAAATACTGAAATGTGGAAATTTACATTGACAAATGCAAAGATTTTCCTGACACAGATTAAAGTAGCTACAATTATTAGAAAATGAGACTTTTGGGTTTTAAATCTGCCTTTAATTAAAAAACAAAAGAAATTTCTGTAACAATTTTCATATATTTTTATAGTTATATTTATTTCTCTCTATAGCAATTTATAAAGGATAATCAGTTAATAATTGACCAACAATAATATAACATAAGTGCATTTTTTATCTTATATGTAATCAATCTGACTGTTAAGGTATTTATCCCATTGTCCACTGTCCCACAAGTTTTGTGATTCTGTTTGAAAAATGTCACAGATAGCCAAAGAGCCAAGTGAGAATGGTGTGTTGTATCTCTTGGTCAGATTGAAATCATCTACCTTTTGGTGGTTTCTTTGACTCACTAGATGAAAATCACAAACCCTACAGCTGGGCTAGATTTAGTATGTTTTGTCCATATATGTTTGTCATGTGTTGACAATTTTTCATAGGTCCAGTTTCTCCTATGCAATAGAGACTGGACGGTCTACTCCAGGACACTTGCATTTCTATTGTAGTACAACCACTGCTATTTGGTTCTATTGTCATTTACCATAGCTATATCCAGGGCCAAATTTAAATTGTGTGGGATCTGGGTGAACTTTCTTAGCAAGGCCATCTAAAAAAATTTTTATTCATTGTCAAGTGTAAATAGAAAAGATATTTGGTTACAAAATATTTTCCTAAATTATAAAAAGTTGACATCAACTATAATTCAATTACATTATTAAAATAAAATTATTTTGCAATAAAAATGTATACATTTTTAGCTTCTATTGTTGCATCGTGGAGCCCTAGGCAAGTACTCTGCTTGTGTGCAGCCCTGTCTATGTCTCTCAATTACCACCAGTTTACATTGTTATTCAAATTACCTTTAAAGCACTATATTTGTCAGTAGTTATTAATTCATCTTCCATTAAATTTAAGTCGTGAAGTACAAGGAGTTACACCACTGAATGTGAGTGCACTTGAATTTAGCTAATACATAGCAATCAAGATATAGGGACACCAGTGAAAATTTATAGGTTTGCAATTTTCAAATTGCACTCCAATAATGTTCCTATTTAAATGTTTCAACCTTGCTGGTCAGATAGGGGGAATCTGTTGCTGAGAGAAGGGTAAAGTTTATTCAAAAAAGATAGTTGTAAATCTTCTCTCAAACAAGATGGTAACTGAAATTAACTTCAAATTTAAAATTATATGCTTGTTTAACATATGATTAATGTTACTTTTATAGAATATTTTAAACCAGTGCAAAATTAAGACACAAATTTAATAAAATATCACACACAAAACTCCAAAGGAGCTTAACCCAAAAGTCTCATTTGACTATATTTTGAATGTCATTTATAAAACTTTCTTTCCAATATGATTACAACAAGAATACATTATACATTATACAGTGCAGTCATTATTTAAGCACAATGCACTTCTGGAACACATACATAAATAATTATGCATGTGATTATGCATTCAAGGTTCATGCAAATTGAAATCGGTTATCCTACAGAAACAGACTGAGTGCATAAATAGTAACCAGCATAACAATTTTTTGGCTTATTTTAATGCAGATTAATTAATTAAAATGAAGTATCTTCTTTTTTTGGAGCCATGTTGTATTTCTTGCTTAACTTTTCATTGTGGAAAACCAAAACTCTCACTCCACACTTCAATAATCAATACAGGTGGGACTGGATTTCTAAATAGGCACAGTAGGTATGGGTCCAGAGTACCAATTTTGAGAGGTGGAGAAATTGGCAGGCATAGTATAAGAATTTCACAAAAAAGTAATTATACAAATATTTCAATATTTGGAATTAAGTCATTTATATAATGATTTAAATAATTTATTTATTTACATCAAACAGATAGCTTTAACCACTCATAACATAAACATGATGCAATTTGTAATTAAATTCCATGTATTAGAAGCATTTACATTTAGTCAAAAAAAGTGACATCCTAGGCTTGCCTACAAAAGGGTTAAATCCAGCCCCAAATGCAACACTTGCAAAACCATTTACTCACTACATTAATGATAAATAAATGGTTTTGCAAGTCTTTCTTGTATTTACTCAAATATTGAGTGGGTGTTTTAGTTTACCATAAGAAAAACATTAAGCAAAAATTGTTAAGTTATGCATATTGAACAATAATGAAAGAATATACATTCTTCTGTAACAATATACTATGAAAAGCACACCAATTTAACAACAAAATTAATTTTGCATTAAATGTTTTCAGTCTAATTTATAAACCATCTTTAGGATTATTTCTCGTAGACATTTGCTATTTCAAATTTATTCTGAGAATTAAAGAATCTTGAAGATAGTCTACTTTGTAGACTGAAAATGTTTAATGTAAAATTAATCTTTCTAAGTTAACATGGTTTTCATAGCATATTGTACAGTAAGAAATATATATCTTATGATCATCATCTACTGTGATCAATTTGTGATTTTTTACAGGATTAAATAAAAACAACAAATTAAGTTTTATTATATATCTGCATAGTAAAGATGTATTATTTTGAAATTACACAAAATAAGATTGCATAAATCAAAAGTGCACTGTTCAATGTATTTTATATTCATAAAAGTATACTTACAGATAATAAGTGTGTAAAATTTTCAAGAGATTTTAAATGTAATTTAGTTATTCTTTACATGAGATATATTTTTAATACTTTAAAAAGTAAGTGAGCAAATAGAAACATAACATTACTATACGTCAATCATCTAAATTCTTCATTTGAAATTGGAAATATTAACACTTGAAAAATTATGCAAATTGAAGCAAATATTCTCAATTGCACAGATGAAATGCAAATTCTATATTTGTATTTCAGTTTACAGTTAATTTACAGAGCAATGCTCTTCCATGAAATATAAAATCCTTTCTAAACAAATTGATCATCAATACTTTATGAGTCAACTTATATATTTTATACACTTACTTTTGCTTTATATAAACTGTTATAAACATTTCTAAAAAATTTGAGTTTTCCATAATGACATATCACCATTCTTCAACTACTGTCTGAATACAAACAATCAAATACCACTTACCCTGATGATTTAGTATCACTGAATACTTCACAATTCACAAGAATCAATTTTGCAGAAATTATCTGCTAATATAATAAATTAATATAATTTAAGTATAACAACATTAATAGCTAATATCACAGCTTCAGAGTAATAAAATTTGTTAGGCTTTATAAGATAATTCTAAATATAAATTAATAATTCTAAAACTATTAAGTTAGATCAATTCCTTTTAACCACGACGATAAATCTCCGACACTACAGCGTGGTTTCGATGAGTCCCACGTAGATACTGTAACATCTTGTTCTACTTCCACCAGAAGATCTGCAGCTTTCTGACCAGAAAGATAAGCACCGTGTGTAGTAGAATAAAAACTGGAATGTGTTGCTTCTCCTGCAAATAATAATACTGGCTGGAAAAAAACAGTAAAAGTTATAATTAATTGTCTTGTTCATAAAAAGAAATTATTATTACATTTATTTTAAAACAATAAATATTGATACAACTATCAAATACAATGTCTTCCAAAAAGAATGCTACCATTTTAAATTATTGTAATTTTATGTTACTTATTATCTAAGAACAGGCATGGCCAACATACAGCCCGCGGGCCAGGGGCAGACTGGCCCTAAAATTTGTGTGTGGAAAATTTATTACCAGCCCAGCCCATAAATAAAAAAAATGTATTTTTTCTATTTATATTTAAATATATTCAAAATATAACATTGACAAAAATTACAATAAGCACAAGTCTATATTCTACAATATTAATTTTTTATTTAGAAGTTTGCTTTGTTGAGCAATAATATTAATGACATCATCAGAATGTATTTCGTTTAAAAAATCCTTCTCCACTGACATTAACACGAAGGCTTCTAGATTTTCTTGCAAGATACTTATAAGTATTTTAGCCTGCTTTTAATTAATTTTAACATAGAAAAGCTTTGTTCACCGGACACTTGTGTTACAGACATAGATAGCAGATATTTGTATGCTTGACCAAGTATAGAATAAGCGCCACTTAACATGTTATATCTGAATAATATATTATAACAACAAATAGAGCAATTTTTGCAAGCAATGCAGTAAGAGGATAAAATCGCATCTTTATTAGTTTCTACTTGATCATCAGTAGAATGTTCATTTTCGTTTAATTTTATAAAAGTTTCATTGACATTTTCCTTTAAAATATTCCATGACGATTTAAAATGTTGCAATTCTGAAATAATATTGTGTTGAGTAGCTACTGGATTAAACTGTATTAAAATACTGCTTAATTTTTGAAATGCGTTTTCAGGAATATTTAGTGACGGTCCCGTAAATTTTGGTCTAATGTGCTTTGAACTCGCTGTAAGATGACAGTCGAACTCTCCCCGGTTGCTCTCTCTCCCACCTTCCCTGATCTAGATCGAGGACGTGTGAATTTGGTCCGGGAATGCGACAATTAAATCGTCTTACACTCGTTCCTGTTTACGAAATAAATCATCGATTTATTAGCTTTAGCTCGACAACCAGTTTCCCATTGGAGAGGGGGTGAGGTCCCGGCCTCACACTACAAAATAGATTATTTTTAATTAAATCGTTTGGAATACAGAGAAATTATTATTGAATAACATTTTTTACTTGCCTAAAATAAAGGAAATAATATAAGTGGCCATTAAATTTGTTATGACTACAATCATTGCTTTGGTAGCTAGGTATAAAATTAATAACTTGCATTTCCATAGTTTAGCATTAAGATTCATAGGAGTGGTGAATAGTTTCTAGCAATGTAAACAAATGACCAATTTTCTCTGTTTAGAAGGTAGTTTTGATTATTTTTCTCCTAGGATTCTTTGTTTGGGCCGAATCAGGCTAATGTAGTGTTTGACTCAGATCAGCCAAACTAATTTAACTTCAGATACGGGTAGGGCTGGGTAGATACAGGCCTACACATATACCTATATTATACCTAAAAATTGAAATTTACCTTACTTAACAAAAAACATAAATGAATTTTTTAAAATTAAACTTAACCAAACAGTACATTATGTACATATTTAGAAAAAATGGCCCATGTGGAATTTTCCACATTTTCCACATGGCCAGTCCACCCCTGCCGTGGGCCAGATCCAGCCCGTCTAATGAATTTATGTGACCCGTGATCAATCTTTCAATATTAGCTACTGAAGTCCGAATAGCTCGATGAAAAATTCTGACACCTAAAAAAAAAATAATAATAAATAAATAAGGTCAACTCACTGTGAGTTTAGAGTTAACCCTCCATTACATATCTCATAAGTACAGCATAGGGTGTTGATAAAGCATGATAATGTGAAAAATGTATCTGTAATCTCTAATCTGACACCACAATGAGATCTCGCACCATCTCAAAATCTTCCTAGGTCAGCCCCTGGATTGGCCCATGGAAAAAGTTTTCTTTCCAATTCGGCCTGGGGGAAAAAACTGTTGGCCACCCCTGTCTAAGAATGTTGTAATGTACTCTACATTAATAAGCAAATGTGAAACTTAGTTTCACATTTGCTTATTATAATTTCTTAATGTGTGCACTCCTGTCACATGGCACAAATCCAAATGATACTTAAATTCTTCCTTGCTACAGCACATCCATTGTCACTCCTCCCACAGTAGCCATAATTCTACAGTACCTGCAGATCACACCTTTTGTACAATGATGAGTGATTCCAACTTTGTAAACTGCAGAACAAAATGTTTTCTCTGTTGTGAAGTTGCCATTTTTTGTCATTTACAGTCTTCCTAGATGCAGAAGACAACAAGACATTTGAATGTAGATGGGAGATAAAACTCAATCATTTACTATATTGATTGGCTTATGTTGTATACTTCTTAGAAAATAACTAACATAATTACAGTAATTTAAAATGGTCGCATTCATTTTGGAAGACCCTGTATTATTAACACATCAAGTATAGATGCTGAAGCAGGTGAACATCTTATTACTTAGCCATTTGATAACCAGTAGAAAAGATAAATTACCTTTGATAAGATAAAACTTGAATAAAACAACCTCTAACAAGTCTTTTTTTTATTACTTAAAAAAATAACATGTGATAAGCAGTAACACTAGCTGAAAACCATAGAGAATTCACAACTAATTGGAACATCAGTGCAACTTAGTTAATTTATTATTTTATGTTTACAATTCTTAAAATATTTTGTAAAAAATTTTATTCATCTGCTTATTCAACATATCATGGTGTGAATTTAAAAATATTCTTCTAAATGTTAAATTCATATAACTTATGCTTTGAAACATCTACATGTTTTATAAAATCAAATGTCAATTTATAAGTTGGAGTGTATAAGACCTGAAGCAGAGCATTCATTTGTATATTGAATTAGTGTTTCTGGAATCCATTTTATGGTTTCTTCTTCTTATATATTGTCTCTTTTTAATTTATAAATGTTTCAAGTTATTTTAAATATTGACAAGGAGTCCAAATATGTCAATTAACATAGATTTCAATAATCTCTGTCACATGGGACTGAAAAAATTGGTCTGTTATAATGAAAGTCCATTTTATCACAATTACTTGTTATTACAGACTCATCCATTATATTGATAAGTCCATTACTCCAAAGTAGAATCATATTAGAATGGATTTCAATAATGGATCTAGAGTAAATGTCTGCAGTTCATGGATGTTTTATTCAGGACAAGAATCCAAATAAACGTATTTTTACCTTGTTTCAGTGGATCTGTTTCTGCAGGGGATTCTATTGTATATAGTAATATCAACTTGTACATTACTGTAAAGTGATATTGTGGACATAAGTCAATTACACAATGGATGAAATTTCAGTTATAAAGTATATAAGCCAAATTATTATTAAACTTGTAAAAACGATACTTTTATTCATTATATTTTTGAAATATTTTTAAGAATTGTTTTAAGAAAAGTCTGTTGTAGTTTTTCTCTTGCTTTCCAAATGTTTGGAATTGTCTGTTTACTCAGAGACATTTCTTTGCCAACTTTAGCTTGAGATTTTCAATCTTCAATCTGATGAATTATATCTATTTTTTTATGTTAAATCTGAAGCTTAACCAAATGGTACATTGTGTACATATTTAGAAAAATGGCCCATGTGGAATTGCACTTTCTTTTATGATCCATGGCTTTGCTTTACACAACAAATCAAAGACTTGTTACTTATAAAGAAAGTGAAACCAAAACTGAACAAAATTAATCAATCAGAAAACAAAACAAATAACTAAATGTAATGTGAAAATCTACACCAAAGAAAATGATTAAAAAATTAATTTTATATTATTATTGTAGTTATTATTTTTGCAAATAAAATAAATAAAATGACAGCTATGATGAAATAAATAAATGATGACTGTGACAAAATAAATTAGTGACTAAAAAGTCTGTAATAATGGAAGGACAGCAGTCTGCTGGACCTGAAAAATAGTCCATAGTAGCAGGAGTTCATTACAGCAAATGTATATTCTTATGATTTTTTCTATGCTTTTAACCAGACTGATATCAGCTGTTCATAATAATGCAAGGTCTATTATATCAATCCTATACTGCTATCTACAGTATATATAATATATATATATTGATATATGCTTTTTTAAAAAAGTAGAAATAGAAAAATCAATCTTTTAATCAAGTAATTTTTGTATTTTAAATCCTAAGTATATAATGAAGTTGTCAAGAAAATCAAGTCAGATATTTTTCTTTATTTGAGTACTGGCAATCATTTAATGCGCATATGCGACGTGACAAATAACTCTCGAGCGTCGGATTTAAATGATTCATCGAATATTCATAGTCCAAATGTTATGTTTTATGTTCCATCAGAATTTCTTTTAACAGCTGAAGAAAAACTCAGGAGTTTGAAAACATTAGTGGTGAACTTTCTCTTTTGTTCTTTTTTTTTGTCACACACCAGTCATCAGTTCATAGGATCAGTATAGGATATGTTTAATCATTTAATCAAAAGATAATTATTTACTGCTTATAAAAGGTTAATTAATAATATATGGAACTATAGATATAACACAGACTTGTGGTGTTAGAAATATTATAATATGTACAGTACATAACTGTACAAATTTTAACATGCAATGATGACCAAAAAAAACAAACTTTTTAACATTTTCTATATTAGTGCAATTTTAACTTTTTGTCAATTTTTTCTGTAATTGTTACCTACCAGAAGTGTTTATAACATTCCTTTATCATTTAGTGTCAAGAGACATAAGCTTCTCTTTGTCCCATATCATTATGCTTCTGCATGAATATATTTCTTAGATTATAAAAGAAGGTGAGGTTTGCATGGTTTTGCTATAATGATGTATTACACAAAAAGATAATTCTATCCAAAAAATATTATAATCAAAAAGACCCTTTAATCATTCTAGGTTAAAAAGAAATCATTGAAACAAAACTGTATAGAACAAAATTAATATAAAAGTAATTTTTTGAAAGCAATGAACATATATAATCTTGTCCGTAGATGGGGCAAGATTACATAAGAGGGTCGAATAAAGTGTACAGACAACAAAGATTAGTGAAACATTCCTGTTCTTTCAAAAGCAGTGGTGCACTCAAGTGCCAAGAGGTCTTTGTATCCTCCAAAGTAAAAGGAAAACAAACTGTAGAAAATTTTCCAAAAATCTTTTCCTAATTAAAGTTAATTTTTTAATTTTATTCTGTGGTGTCTTCTATTTCTATACTACTTATGAATTAGCAGTCACATAAAGTGTGAATTTTATTGAATTTGCATTAAAAATTTTTTATCCATTCAAATCAGCTGCCCCAAAATTAAATTCTGAGTGCACACTGTTCAAAAGAATACATATTGTTCATGCCACATAAACACAATTAGAACATTGAATCCAGTCTCCAGTGGGTGGATCCATGTAATGTTCATTAATATGCAGGGTAAAAAAATTCTTGGTTGAAGGTGGATGATTTTGTAAGAGTAGTTTTACCTGGTAACTTAGACTCACATTTTTCTAAATACCAGCAAGTGACATTAAACAGATTTTACTTTACCAAAAATATTATTTATTTATTTTTTGTTTGAACAATGCATAAATATACTTTTATGAACCAACAAGGAAAATTTATAGCAAAACAAGAGAACATGTGCACAATCTTGCCCAATACCACTTCATAAATGTAAGTTAATTATTTTAGGTTAACACACAAACAAACACATGCTGTTTGCATGCTACAGCTATCTTCATAATATGTTTAATCCACACACTAGCTTTTTTCTATTTCAATGTGATTTTCAACACACTGTACAGAAACATGTATCATTGTAAAACAAAATCAAATAGCATAAAAAATTTTTTATTTGCCTTCTTTTGAATTCAAGCTGTTGTTGTAATTGAAATTGTATACTTTATATTTGCAAAAAATACTGATCATGTGACCAAAAACATTGTTACCAGAAACATTTTAATCTCTAAATAAATGGGTCGCATGTTCTTACTGCTCTCTTCTTTACTTCTAAAAATTCTTTTATATAGAATTTAAAAGTCATTTGAATGATTTAATATTAAAGAAATCGGATGACTGAGTATGGATTATGATCTGTTTATAAATTAACACAAACAAACCTTAAAAATGATATGTTCAATGTATTTATCAAAATAAAACAAGCCTTTGAATATCTATTTTTTCTTACTTCATATTTTCTTCATTTATGATAATAAATTTCATAATTCAAATAATTAATATTAACTACAATAAAATTTTGATTTGTATTCTAACTATTATTTGTATTTTAACTATTCAAAATAATTGTAATTATTATAATTACAATTATTTTGAATAGTGAATTTGCAGATATGTTTAATGGCAAAGATCCCATAATATTATAATGGAGCTAAAAAATTCATAGCTGCCTATATCTTTTCTATGTTAAGATATGTTTAGATACTTAAATATCATTGTATTTCTTATAGCCTAGATGAATAGTAGATGGTACCATGTACGGTTTCTGTAGATATACTGTATGATGTTGGCTTAATGACATATTGAAATGAGTTGCTTAAACTTTGTCAAGTGGCACAAACTTGTAATTATACTAAAATTATTGAAAAGTTATCACTTGTTTTACTTTAATTACTATCAAGTTCATCTACAATATTTTAAAACTTACTTTTGTTTGATAAGGATTTGCATATATAGGTGTAGCAAGTAACTCAATATCCCTCTGTGTGCTATTTACACCAATGGAAGTATAGGAACCTTGAGTATAAATTTGACTTTTCCAAGATGAACTGAAAAATTCAAATAAATTATATTATAAAATGACAAATATAAGATAATTAATTGGATTCCCTCATCACAAATATACCAAGCATTCAATAATATTTGATGATACTAAGATAGTAACTAAGATACTAAGATGATACTAAGATATATAAGATAGGTCTGAAGTGAGCAAAAAAATTTACTTATAAATATAGTGAAAAAATTTATTTATATATTAATGTTTCAAGTTAGGATAATCTGAAACATTAATATATAAATACTTGCAAAGATATTTAATTTGATTAGTAATCAAATTAAATATGTTTGCACCCATATCATTTAATTTAGATTTGATTAATGCATTTCTCTAAGTTTACCATTAATGAGATGAATTTAATATTAAGTTACAATAGCCAGGCATATTTATATCAATTTTTAAACAATTAAATATTTATTAATTTAATTTAATGTGTTTAAATATGACAGGAAAAAAAACTCAGAAGAGGATTTGAATACGTTCGAAGTTATTCTTTTTCTGTAGCTAACTAGAACTAGCTAACTTAATTAATAATCACTGATGTGGATTGAAAGAATTCTAGATTAATGTAATTTAGATGAAAAGCAATTAATATACTGTTAAATGGTGTGGAAATCTTACATCATACATATGACATTTCCAATTGTAAAAATTAAATAAATAAGTAAATATAATTCTCAGACAAAAGTTAAAAATGAAAATTATGTATAAAAAATTTTGTGAAAATTGGATGTGTGCTTAGATCAAAAATAAAGAGAATTTGGAATCAAATTTAATGAACGTTTCTGTAGTTAGAATATTACAACTTTCATTCACATTAAAGGATAATATATAATTAGTAATAAATATATTTAAACTTTAGTATACTTACCAAATGACTTGACATGGTTTAGGAATATATGGATCATTGAGAAACTTTTGTAAAGTAGAAGTCAAAGCATTTGAAATTTCTTCTTCTGTTAAAGTTTCCATATATTCAGCTTCTTTACCAGAAATCCAAGCTAAAATAATATTCTCACTAATTTTACTAAACGAATAAATCTTTCTAAACCAAACCTTCGATAAATCTTTCTCATCTGTTGGTCCCCATAATGTTAAAATTTCTGAAATTTCCGGATTTAGAAATGGTCTATCATACCTAAGAAAAATCTTATCAACCACCCCAAAACACAGTTTTTCTATACTTTCTAATTTATATTCTGGTAGTGGTGGAATAAAAATCTCATTTGCTTCAGTTTTCAAAACACCTAAAGGCAATGTCACAATGGCATGATCCGCATAAAAGATTTTCCCGTTAGTACATTCTATTTCAATATTTTTATTAATATTTTGGCATTTACAGTCCTCTGCAACTGTTGAGCAATCTTCTGTGTGTTTAGATTCTCTTTTCCATTTAATATGTTTAACAGAATGTTGTTTTAATATACAATCTTTTGGAAGAGTCTTGATTAAAACTTCTAGTACAGAAGCAAAACCTCCAGGCAAGGTTACATTACCTCCAGGGAGTTCAGTATAACTACCAAAATCACTTAAACCTGTCTCATCCATTGAATGGCATCCTGTGATACAAGTTTCTCTATTCAGAAGGTGTCTGAATATTAATTTCCGTATTTCTTTATCTTCGTCTTTAAACTGTTCTAAGTAAGCACATATATCTCTTTTTAAATGTTTTCCAACACTGTTTCCAACTTCTGGAATGGGTGGAAAACGAAGAAGAAAATATTCTTCGCAACGTTTACAAAACCAAAAATATGCACTATAAATTTCTTCCACAATATTTATAGGAATTCGTTTTCCATCTTCTGTTGTTGCCACTACTGCATGAGGTTCTTGATCATTTGTTAAATTAAGTAAACCATTACAGACTGCTAATTCATAAACTGGATTACCCAAGACACCATGAATCCACTGAGCTCCTAAATTGACATAGACATCTCCTAGAAAAAAAATGATAAATTTTTAGTATTAAAGCAGATTGAAAGTTCAGAATTCTAAAATACAAGGTTTTCCAAAATAGATGATACCACTATAAATTACTATATAATTATGTTAATTATTATCTGAGATATATACTATGTACAATGTACACCAATCAATAGAGTAACTGTCCAAGTTTTAGCTCCCATCTGCATTCAAACATCTTGTTGTCTACTATGTCTAGGAAGTGCTGTAAACAAAAATAGCAACTCTTCAACGGAGAAGGTGTTTTGTGAAGACAAAAACCTATCCTAGAAAGTCAGAATCACTCATCACTGTACAATCTGAGTAATCTGCAGGAACTACAGAATTGTGGCTGCTTTGGAAGTTGTGACAACAGATATGTTGTAGCAAGTACAGTCAACCCCCTATAACACTGTTGATAATTCTGTTTTATATGAATTCCATGTTGTACAAATCACTTAGATTTTACAAATATGTGAGCCATTCACAGCCTGGCACACATATTTGTAAAATCTAAGTGACTCATACAACATGGAATTCATGTAAAACGGAATAATCAACAGTGTTATAGGGGAGTTGATTGTATAAGAAGAATTTGAGTATCAGTTGGATGTGTACCATGTGACCCAAGATGCATACATTGAGAAACTATAATGGGCAAATGTAAAACTTGGAGTCTTCCAATGTTTTAATGTATATTAAAACATTCTTGAATAATATTTAACAAAATTACAATAATTTAAAATGGTAGCATTCTTTTTGGAAGATCCATTATATAAAAAGTTTTATAATATTTTATATAACAAAAAATCAATAGAAAACTAAAATTAAATGACTAAAATAAATGGTAATCTTTAATCCAGAATATAATTAAAATTAAATAATGGATATTTTTTGGCCACATTTGTCAACCATCTTCAATTGGTATTGATTGAATGTAGACAAGGATTCACAAAGTAAATATCACATATGTAAATTTGGCTATATATAGATCAATTTATAAATTGATGACAACCAAAACTGTTAGTTATTTAATTCTAATTAGTTGTTAGATTAATAGTTGTTGTTTATTTTAAACTGTTCTAAGTAACAAGTAAGAAAATAAACAAATATTTAAAAACTCCTTGTTGAGTTGAAGATCAATTTAATTACAGATGTGCTATTCCATGAAATCATGTTATTTTGTTGAGCTGAAATGCTTAAAGAGATGTGGAAAAGACTTTTTCTGTTCCTGTATTAGTGTACTTTAATCCTCATACTTCAAGGTCAAAGTATGGCCTATATGTTGTCTGCATTACTAATCATTTAATAGTAGAGATGCCACGAATATTCGGCTACTATTCGATATTTGGCCTATTCGGCTACTTTTTTTAATATTCGGTATTCGGCCGAATAGTATGCAACATTCGGCCGAATACCGAATACCAAATCATGAAAAAAAACCGCACATATTACTCAAAAACGTATTTATTTTAATCATAAATTATTACATTTAATACTTAAAATCTATCAGTGGTAAGTTGTAATGAATGAAAACAATTTTTTCAGCATTTGTTGATAGCAAACGATTGCGCTTTTCCTCATAAACTATACCTGCTTCTGAAAATAGCCTCTCACTATATACACTACTGCCGGGAGACGATAGATAAATCTTAGCGAATTCTGTCAGGCTTGGATACTGTTTTGCGTTTGCTGACCACTGCTTGTAAAGGTCTGCCGTCCAATCTAAGCGAACAGTTTTCATGTAAAGTGATACAGTGATATTTTTTAGTAATAATTAGTAACGCAATTTGATGTAACAATGAACAAATAATGCATGTTGTGACATGATCTACTCGCAAATAAAACAAATGTGCCCGCAGTGTCGCTACCGCACCCACCGCAATGTATCAGGTCGTAACATATCACCCGCGAAATGTACACATATTCTGCCGAACATTCGGCCGCCGAATATTCGGCGCTTCGGCCAAGAGCTTAGCCGAATGTTCGGTATTCGGTATTCGGCAAAATCACTATTGGTGGCATCACTAATTACTATTATTATTATTATGTTGGGTTTTGTGAGTTATTATTATTATTATTATATGTTTCCTCTTATAGGCACTATGAGAACTTTTCAAATTAAAAGTAAAATCAGTTATTATAAAACAAGTAATGACTATGAAATGATTGTTTAACAAGTAATGACCTCTTAACAGAGTTGAAAGTGTTAGCAGTCTTCTAAAAATCCTACTGTTAAAGGCTCAGTAATTAGTACAATAATTAATGGTTTAAAAATTTATATTTTCTGACAGTCTAACTTTCAAATTTTATATCAAAAAGATAATGAAAGCACTATCTATTCAACCATGGTATAGTGTGACACTATTTTAAATCTAACTTAAATTCAAATTAACTATATTTTTTCAAAATTAATTAAAATACACATTCCAGTAAGTTTGGATTATCCAATAATTTTAATTAAGCAAATTCAACTGCAAATTCAATATTAATTTATAGAGTAGAGAGAAAATCTGAAAATGCCAAAACTATAGAAATGATGAATTTTAGTGAAACAAAGACAAAGGATAAGGATTATGAAGGCAGGAAAGGATAAAATAAAAAATGAACAATTATTTATTGTGACATTTTCATGTCAGGCTGCAATTTTTAATCATCTGTTAATTTTTAAAAAATATGACTTATCGAACAAAAGTTCATATGTAGTTAATTGGGGCTCCTAAGCTTTCCATATTTAATCTTAATTTTAGTGATGTCTTGCCCCTGTAAATCATACTTCTCCTGATAACAGTTGAGTTGTGTCAGTCTCATCTAACTAACTCCTTTCTGGACACAAATTTTGAATTTAAATCACGTGACTTCTGGTCTAGAGTAGAAGTTTGAATATAGTTACTCAGGGCCTCTGACTCTTAAGCTTTCCATATCTGGTCTCAATTTTCATCTATCTAATTCTGTTCTCAAAATGGACAGACAGACATTAAACAAACCAAACACAGTGGGAATATAGGTCTGCAATTAGAAAATTGCAGCCCAAAAAGAATATCCAAGAGCATAACATACAAAACAGTGGCTGCATACATAGAAGTCTACTGAAAAGGGGTCCTAAAATAATTTGATTAGATTAGCCAAGTCAAAATATCACACAAAAAGAGCAATCAAGAACAAACAAACATTGGAATGTCATTAAATAAAAGAGACCTAAAGCTTACATAAAAGAGTAGAGAGAAGTAAGAAAGTGGGATTTAATGATAAAAGATTGAATGTATCTGAAAGAATTTTCAATTTGAAATTTATATATAAATTTTAATTTGAATTTCATTTTCTTCATGTGAAAACAAGGGATAGAGCACACAAATTTTACCATTATAATCCATAATAGGATAAATAATAATATGATTTTTCTCTTTGTTGAGCATTATTGATATCCTAGCTTGATTACAGACCAATCTTATACAAGTAAAAAAACTAAATGGAATCATAATTCCTTTTAAAAGATTTATCCTCCAAAACTTAGTTTCCTGAAATACTAAATGATTTGCAAAAATTAATGAAGTTTAAAATTTAAAAAAATTGGAACAGTATAAATTAAAATATTGTCTTATTATTCATGAGAGATGATATACTGAGGTAGTATTCTAAAGCAATGTCTAAAATCTATTATTTCCTCTTTACAAAATGAGACAAAAATTGTTTATATAAGTGTATTGATGATTTTTCTCTGATATATATTTGATGCACAAAATTGATGCTGTATGGTATAATATAACAAAATTAAACTGTTTAGTATACATTTTTATAATATCGTATTTTTATTTACTTATGTGTTTTTGTTGTTTTTGGTTACCTGTAATAAGCAGTAGCCATTTTGTCTATTTCCATTTATACAATCAAACCTTAATGTAACAAAATATAGTACTACTCTCATAAAGTGCCAATGAATGAATACATGTGAATAGTTCCTCTCCATAAATGTTACAGAAAGAACCTTTTGAGATCTGTGTAAATTACTAAATAAATCCATTATTTGTAAATTACTAAATGTACAGTACATCTGTACTGCAAAAGGACATAGATGTCACCAAATTTAAACTTTTTTAAACTCTCAAACTACTGTACATATCATTACCACAATATATACACTGTATAATTCTTACTATTTACAAGATTTCAGTTTTATGCCATACTTGATTTAGTGCCAATTTCAGAAAAAAAAAAAAAAGATGGTGTCATTAAATCAGTTTGACTACATATAGATTTGATCATAAGATGCTTATTAAATCAGATTTTTATTTGTATTTACCATATAGATTATAAGATTGCTCCCAGAAAACAATTGAGAGAAACTGTTGAAAAAAGAAAATTTAAAAAAAAAAAAAAAAAATCTATTTTCCCATGAGTCTACCAAGTCAGACGGTAGAGTAAAGTGTGTTTTGAAGCAGAATATTATCTTATGAAATGCACTTGGATCTACACTTTTTTGGTTTTTCTGCTTATATATAAATCACCTAGACATACAATCCTAGTAGTATGTCAATAGGACCTAACATATAAAATCTTGTCTGAGGAGTTTATATTATTTAATGAAAATTCTAAAATTTGTATTAATTATGAAAAAAGATTTATCTGTAATGTAATTACAAAATAAAGCAATGTATATTTTTAACAAAGCAGTGGCAACATTATAGATTATCATCAGTGTAACCATTACGATTTAATAAAAAATAGACAATAAATGCAATAAATTTTCAAAATTTTGATAACGATTATATATATAGGATGTTCCGTAAGACCGGACCACAGGAGTTACGTTAATCTTTCCTTTAAAAAAATAAAACATGGTACCAAGTAAAGAGAAATGAATTCAAGTTACTGTATTTTAATGACAGAACCCACAGTCGGCAAGTTGTCGAAGAGTTTAACAGGCAACATCCAGACTACTGCGTGAGTCGGCAGAAAGTTGTCATGCAGACTGTAAACTCTGGAAATGTCAAGCTATAAATCAAAATAACTTTAATTCATTCCTCCTTGCTCATCTCATCTATAAAAAAACAAGGATCAAGGCAACTTCTATGGTTCCTGAGTTGTAAAACATCCTGTATAACAGTGACGTGCCGTCATTGGAAGTGATGGATGTGCCGCTTCCCTTGTATTTTCTAAAAAATAAATACATATTAATTTTAATTACATGAAAATAATCGCACAATATTTTATTATGGCTACATTATGTATCTTATTACAAATTTCTATACTATACATGAAAAAAAAGATAAGATTGCTATTGTATATTTGAATATTAGTGGCGGAGTAGAAGTGCTGTATCGTCGGCATCCAAAAAGCCAGATTCACACGCACTTTACAGAGCACCAACCTCACCCGGTTTGGCGGTGGAAGCCTATGACCTTGGGTTGATGCTACACATATAATGCTTCCAATTCTATCTGGAACCGGTTCTGGGCTGTTAGCCGCCTGCCCACTAGATGTTTGGCCGTCCTCGCCCGATTACGCGAATCGCGAGTAGATTTATAACTTAACCTGACCAATAAGAATTTACTGGTACGTTTTTATGATAGTTCTGTATAGTTGACAGGAGTTTAAAAAATCCATTAAAATATTTGATATTTTTATTCCACTCTCCAATTTTATATTACTCATGGATTTCAATGTTAAACCAGTGCTATTATGATTTTGTATATCCCATCTTTAAGGGGATGTAGAAAAAAATGTGTACAATTCTTGTATGATGTTAAAAAAATTAACTGTTACTTTGACAGCATCATTTACAACTAAATTTAATGAATGAGAGAGATGCATGAGGTACAGAAAAAGCTCTAGAATTTACTTTCCTTAAATTTATGATTTATGTATCCGTTAGTCATAAAAATTTGTCTTTCCACTTTTTTCCCAAGACTACAAATATTCGAGTACAAAGTAACCGGTTTCGACTTATTTCTACTTAAGTAGTAGTTAAATAATTAAGCGATTAGGGAATTGGGGACATAAACAAAAGCTTAACCGAACCATCTCTAGCCGAGTACAGTGGGGACTGATTTCTTCGTAATATATATAAAGACAGAAATTTTTCCAGTTCGACGAGGATGACCGAAAAGTTGTAAATTTTGGAAATTTCCGTGGACACCTGGTCCTAAAATGAATTAGTTAGAAAACAAATGACTTTTATGTTTAACATATTTAGATTTTTACAGCTATGGCAAGAAACGTTTAAAATCTACAACAGCCCGGTTGCGTCCTTTGAGATATACTAATGATGCGACAAAAGAGGTATTTGACATTGACCGGTATCGGCCCCCTGGGGATTTGGCAGTCCGCGTGCAAGCACGCCCTGCAACCATCTTCGATTCCATCCATTAGCCAATCGTAGAGAACTATTTGACTAAGTGCATTGTTTTAGGATTTAAAAAATAAAGAATATTTTATATTTTTATGTACGTTTCTTTACAAAGCTATATTTAAATATAATTTTCTTTAAAAGTATATTCATACAATTGAAGAATATTTTGTACCAGGTATGTACCGGTATGTCCACCAAACATTTTATTTCACCAAGTAAATTTTTATTATTTTATTTTTAATTGTAGCCCTTATATCGTGGATAGCGATTCGGAATGTAACTGTGATATTAAAAATGCATTTAGAGATGTCTACGGTTATTACTGGCTTATCGAATAAACGATACAAATGGGCCCTAGACCATCACTGACTCGCGATTGACTGATTGCCCCTGGATGTCGGCTTCTTACAGAAACACAGCTTCCCTATCATCAAATGTCACGGCACGCCACTGCTGTATAACATAATATGAGATTAATTTCTAACGTATAGCAGGCTCTTTATTCTTTGTTAACACATGAACAACGTAATAAAGACATGTAAGCATATTTATTATAAATATTAAATATATTAATTAATAAAGTGTACCCATAGGAACCGAAATTATTCTTCCTCCAATTCTGTTTCTCGCTTCTAATATTTTAATACTTTGTTCCCCTTTTTCAATGAGATGATTAGCAGCCGAAATACCAGAAATTCCCCCACCAATAATGATTATTTTATACGAATTTTCGTTATCATCGTCTAGAGGCGGAGTTTCATCACTGGAGGCCGCCATTATAAAACTCGAAGCACCCCGACACAAATCCGACATTATAAATATTTTATTTCAAAAATATTCAATAAAATATATATTTTTTAAATAATTATTTATCAATTTCTGTATATTTAAAATAATATAATTTCAACATTGTTTTAGATTTTATCGAAACTTTTACGCCTGAAATTCCCGACGCAGAGTGCTGCCATATTTAATCCTCAAGTATAAAGAGCCATTTAATTTATTCAATCAACTTTTAACTGTTAGAAATATTTTTTAAAAAAAGAAAATATCATCACCAAAAGTTTTAAATTATGTAATTGTCTCTAATAAAGTCAATGGTTTATGACTAAACAGTATTTTCGTCAGCGGCCGGATGGCCGAGCGGTCAAGGTGAAAGCCTACCGCTCTGGGGAACCCGAGTTCGAATCCGAACGGGTCGAAAAAATCCCCAGGAATTTTTCGGGGGGTGGTCCGTTCAGATATGTCGGGCCCCGTCCCTCACCACCCGGCAGTTCCATTGTGGGCCTGGCCGAACCCATAATGGGCTTGCAAAAAGAGACCCTCTTAGTGCCCACAGGGCGGAAAGAGTTAAAAAAAAAAAAGGTATTTTCGTCAATTTATCAATACATTATTATTAATGGTACTGTTTAAAATTAGAATAATGTCGAAGCTTGTTTAACAAAATGTTTTGGAAATTTTAAATGTTAATTTGAGGTTGGGTTGGAGCTGCAAAGTATGGTAAAACTGGGTAAAAATTCCTAGGGCCGGCCCTTAAAAGTCCTCCCGGCGGCATTTCTCCCCTTGGCAGATCGCCCAAATATTGCGTTATTTTATCCCACCAAACCATATTAATTTCTATTTTTAATTAATTTCAATTTAAAATACATATTAATTAATTTTATAGAGCAAATATATTTATACTTAATCAATAAATATAAAAATTAACATTATATTCTTAAATTAAATTAGTTATATTTTAAAATTTAAACTTAAAATTTCTTACTAAAAGTTAATTTTCTCGTAATTTTTTTTTTTATAAAATTAATTATAAACTATTCAACAAGCAAATTAAATGTAATTTATTTCGCTTTCACCAATGAAAGATAGTTTTTTTTAACTCATTTGCATAAAATTTGTGAAAGAACCATAAGGTAGCAATAGGTAATATTGTTGATTGCGTGTTACGAGCTTGTGAAAAATCTTGCAACAATGACTAACAGAGTTCCTATTCAAAAGGAGTTTTTCTGGGGTAAGTATAAAAAAAAGGGGGGAATATGATGTTTATTTTAATCTCCGTCGTACTAAGCCATATACAATTCCTGCGTTTTATTATATTTAAATGAATGTAATTAGAATTTTTGTATGATAAAGTAGGAAACACAGTATTTTTTAAACTCTTTATGAGGAGTGATTTATTTACTTATAATTTTTTTAATTGCGGTATTATATAATAAAACCCCTCTAATTACACACCAGTGGCGTACCGTGACATTTGGTGATAGGGAATCTGTGTTTCTGTAAGAAGCCGACTTCCAGGGAAAATCAGTTAATTGGGCGTCAATGATTGTCTAGTGTTCATTCGTATTCGTTTGTTCAATAAGCCAGAAAAATCATAGACTTCTCTAAATGTATTTTTATTAATTAATAGATTATCTGACGTACTTAATAAATAAACAAGTTCAATATAATTACATCTGTTATTAGATTCAATAGATTCCCTATGCCCTCTTCCAATTCTTGCTTTGATAAAAAACATATATTATCTATTAATTTAGATATAATATATCTGTTAACCGTAATTATCTTGTTATAATTTCCAATATTTATTTTATATTATTTACTAATGTTAATAGATTGTCCGTCATTTTGTTTTCTAACTAATTCGTTTTACGACCTGGTGGTGTCCACGGAAATTTCCAAAATTTATAACTTTTTGATCACTCTCATTGAACTGGAAACATTTCTGTCTTTATAATTATCATATTTATCATAATTACGTCTAATATTACGAAGAAATCAGTCCCCACTGTACTCTGCTAGAGATTGGTTCAGTTAAGCTTTTAAGTAAAATTCCAGCTCTTTCAGCAGGGTTTTATTTATGTCCCTAATTCCCTAATCTCTTAATTATTTAACTACTTCTTAAGTAGAAATAAGTCGAATCAGTTACTTTGAACTTGAATATTTTTAGTCTTGAGAAAGAAGTGGAAAGACAAATTTTTTTGACAACGGATACATAAATCGTAAATTTAAGGAATATAAATTCTAGAGCTTTTTTTGTACCTTGTGCGTCTTTCATTAAATTTAGTTATAAATGATGCTACCAAAGTAACAGTTAATTTTTTAACTTTGTACAAGAATTGTGCGCGTTTTTTTCTGCATCCCCTTATAGATGGGACATACTAAATCTTAATATCACTAGTTTTTTAACATAGAAATCTGTAAGTAATACAAGATGGGAAAGCAGAATAAATACATCAAATATTTTAATGGATTTTTTTAAAACTCCTGTCAACTATACAGAACTATCATAAAAACATACCAGTAAACTCCTATCGGTTGGGTTAAGTTATAAATGTACCCGCGATTCACAGAATGGGGCGAGGGCGGCCAAATATCTAGAAGACAGGCGGCTAACGGTCCTGGATAGAATCATTGGAAGCGTTTTGGTGTGTAGCTTCCACCAGCTAAACCGCTTGAGGTTGGTGCTCTGTAAAGCGCAAATGCCTATAATCTGGCTGCTTTACACCGTTCAAATATTTTCGCCCTGGAAGCTGTCCCATATTCGACAATACAGAGCTTCCGTTGTTAATATGCATATACGAATTTATATTCGAATATACAATAGCAATCTTATCGTTTTTCTGACTTGTTGTATAGAAATTTATAATAAGATACATAAGCGGTTATAATAAAATATTAATTTTAATTATATGAAAATAATTGCACAATATGCATTTATTTTTTAGAAAATACAAGGGAAGCGGCGCTTCCACCGCTTCTAATGACGGCACGCAACTTGTATTTTCCATAGGTTCAATAAGATAAGAATTGAGCAATCGTAAATCTAACCCAGTGTTGTGAAGTTCTTATCTGTTTACTGCAGTATTTATTTGTGTTTATAATAATATGCCATTTACTTAATTTTTTTAAATTCATAACCGTTTAGTCAAATTTATTGTTACTTTTTCCCCACGTCAAAAATATTTTGCATACTTTTTGAGAGAAAGTGAATAGATGTAATTTATTTCTTTCAATATGATGATCCATTCTCGATAGAAGGTTATGGATGCAAAACTAAGATTTGTACACGTGATAATAGGAAAACGTTAGTGTACAGTACTTTTGAGCAGTGTTTTCAACTGCACGAAAAACATTTGACCGTACAGAAGCTCGTGCAGTTTATTGCGGGTGACATTTTATATAGTAACAGCACATACAGTAACTCCTAGAACAAGCATATATAAACGCTTAATAAATGAGATGTCTCCGATTCGCACTAAAATATCAACGTGACGGAGGGGTTCAGTATTTTACGTGGGAGCGTTAGACACAGAGACAACTCTCCAATTACATAAATTTCATCCCGTTTTATTGTTACAAAAGATGCTTACAACTACAAAGTCTTCTGTCGGTCAGAGGAATCAAGCCTTCTGGATCTTCTCCCTTTTTGTGTCCTGCGGGTACAGTACAAATCGCCTAAGTTCCTTTCGGAGGTTGACAGCCCCGGGGCGTTGTTGAGCGGTAATCTGTAGCGAGAGAGAGAGAGAGATGACGAATTCGAGGTAGAGTCGGTGACGTTGGATATCTTTTTCCACGGAGGGATGCGCACAATAGAATGGCAGGTCGAGAAGCTTAGTGTCCTTGAAGTTCAGATTTTTTATTTCTGGGACGTTTTCGGGTCCTCTCATAACCGTAATTCATAGTTGCGCATAATTACTTGGTCCACGTAAATTATCCACAATTTTACCGGTCCGAGATTAGAAAGATTGAAAAACACTGGTTTAGGAGATTTTTTTTATATCAATATTTTCTTTAAAGCAAGCATCGCTTTGTAAATGTTTTAATACATTAGTATTCATCCATAGACTGTTCCAGTTTAATTCATTCTAGGAGGTCGTTTGAACACAGAATTGTCCAAAGTCTGAATCAATTTTGCCCATTAGAAATAATGGATTGACTTACCCATTTCTCCAGACCCTGAACAATAGACGGGCGGATGACCCAGCGGTCAAGATGACAGCCCACCGCTGTGGGGACCTGGGATCGAATCGGGACGAGTCGAAAAACTCCAAGAATTTTTCGGCGGTGGTCCATCTGGATATGTCGAGTCCCGTCCCTCATCACCTGTCCGAACCCATAATGGGGTTTTTTTCCTAAAAGAGACCCTCTTAGTGTCCACAGGGCGAAAAGAGTTTAAAAAGAAAGACTGAACAATACCTATTTCGATAAACTTAAAATATCAAATACTCATAATTTAAGTAAAAATAACACAAATTCCTTAATAAATTAAAAATGACATAAATGTGTGGTTTAATTATAAGTTGTGAAATTTTAACACGTTATTGATATTGTTTGTTTAGAATCTTACTTTCTCTTTTATTCACATCTTCGTTTGAATAAGTTGTAATGTCTTCGGATAAAAAGCATTTCGGGCATATTATGCTTTGACTTTCAAAGCATACGAATTGATTTTTACTGTTTGTACAGCGTTAATGTGTACGGAAAGAGGGTTCCTAAACTTTGAAGACGTCGGATGTGGTTCAAAATTTCCCAAAAGGAACTTTTTTTAAACTAAAGGATACAAAATATACGTGAGACCCAAAAGCTATCGACAAAGAAAAATGCAGGAAGAAATTGTTAAACATCGACGAATAACAATACAATATATATATCCAAACATACCAAAAATAAAGCGAAAAAAAAGCACTAAAAACATGCAAACATAATGCGAGAGACAATAGATTGCATTTATGCTTCGAGCAAACTTTTTTTCCCTATGCAAGCAGTTCGAACTTCGAAGCATCCTTCGAACTCGGAGGCGAATTTTTTTATCGAATTTTGCGTTCTAAGTACGAGGTACTATCGTGTTTCTTTTTTAATTATATGAATGATGTAATTTGTAAAAATAGCTATTAATTAGCCGATTTTCTTGCAACATAGTTTGTAATCTATTAGGTGTTTGCAATACTTCTCTTTATAAGACAAATGGTCTGTAGTACAAAGTTTTTAAACATCATCAATGTCGATATTCGCATTTTTCACCGGATGCTCGCCCTCTGGCGTTTAAAAACAAAACTATTTTATCTGGGTCGTTTGATTCATTCTTGTGTATTATCAGGAGTAAAGATGAATAGCAATAGGAAAGAGCAACAACTTACATAGGTTTTTACTTGTAAATCCGGCCCTGATAGGACAATGTCAAAACTGATGTTTTTTAACACAAGGGGCACAAATATGTATAGAATGATCTCTCTCATTTGTTTTGATACCACATAATGATGTGCCTTGCTAACAATAATTGTTCTCCTTCTATAAAAATTTCTCGATAAACAGCTGCAAGCAGTATATATCATTATATCGGACACTAATATATGATTAATTTTACATTACATGATACCAAAGTCCTTGACAAGATATTAGTTGCAAACGACCCAGATAAAGTAGCCATTTTGTAAAAATGCAGCGCCTTATATAGTTCATGAAAAACGCGGATATCGAAAATAAAATTCCTCCTTGTTTGAAAGACTGAAGACTATTATGGATAATTTTATATTAAAAATTTAAGGCCATTTATAAACATTTTAAATTGGGAGAGTGGATTGGATAGATACTCTTGACTTTCAGAGTTTTCTCCAAAACTTCAGTAAAAAGTGGAACGACTCATTGGTGCCAATATGGGAAAGTAATGATGCGAATTTAGTAGCGAGTGATTATAGTTCTTGCAAAAGAAAACCATGCACAAGTAAGAAATATCACTGGCGAGAGAGAATTTCTGGTTCTCGCACATATCTGACAGGGTTTGATATTTATCGCGTCTCGCCTCTTCTCGCCACATATTCTCGCTTACGTCTGCATAGTCGCACCCTAACTTGTGGACATTTAAAAGCATAAAAATTCCACTGGCTGGTTTTGGGCAGAACTTAACAGTGCGTCGGGGTGTCAATAAATGGGAGTGTAAACAGCATTACATATAATTCTGTTCGAATTTTCTCGTAATTTTTGTTACTTTACCTGCTCTATTATATATATAAACAGAGAGAAAATATAGAATAAACATGACAACCCAAAATTTTATATTTGTGGACCCATACCTTGAAACTTAGAAATACAAAAAAAAAATTCTGGAATTGTTTTCTATATGTAAGGATGTTTGTGGGGAGCACTGTTTTGTTCATGCTGTTTGAAGCTTAATGACTCCTGTCTTTTGTTGAAAGTTTCTGAAATTCTGCAGGGATGTTTGTGTATTAGGGACATTGATGCTATTAAATTTTGGTGGAGGGGGTAGGAGATAGAGGGGGCGTTGTGTGTTATATCTCGAGTAGGGTCTTATATAATGGTTCACTCTTTTTTTCTAATTGTTTTTTTTTTATAAAATTTGTCACTACCTTCAAGATTAAGCTTTTTGTTATTTTATAACAAAAGGTTTTTACTAAAAATAACTCAACAGATGGCACCACATGCAATTTTAAATGTCGAAGGAAAAGTTTACGAACTTGTTGCTGTATTTTAAAGTAATGAATAGTATCCTTAATGAATTTTTTCAGACAATTCTAATAAAAACTTAAATTTAAAAGTGTAATATAATTTAATTACTTGAATTAATGCAAATTTAATTAAGTTACATTTCTTCAAATATGGTGCATTTATTGCCTGTTTTATCAAGTTTGGAATTTTGATGGCATTTTAATGTTCAATATTTAGATGCTCAATTTGCAGCCATGGATGCAATTACCTGTACTGTAATTTTAGATAAATCTTCATTTCAAATTGATTGTTTAGAGAGGTTGGAACTATACACTTCTCAAAATAATCAATATTAATGTTTAATAAATAACACTATTCTGACTGCTATTTTTCAAAGTTTTGGTAATACAGTGGATGATCGGTTAACAAACAAATCAGATAACAAACACTTTCACAAAAGAATTTTATGTTTGGACACCAAACACCTCGCACAATAAACACAAGAAGTGACGTAAAATAATGAATACTGATTGGTCTTCCCTTGTCTTCGGGCAACAATTCGCAACTTTTCGGAACACCGGAGACATTGACATTGGTGTTCAACCCGGTATATACTGATCGGACAGTATTCCTCTGAACTTTGAAACTCTCCCTTGTAATTCCAGCCTCTTATTTTTCTGACAAACAATTCTTTTACAATATTCACAAGAGTGTGGGAACTCATTAAGTTTTGCATCGGTTTTTATTTTTGTAAAGTGAGAGTATAATAGCAAATGGAGAGAGTGGGCAGATGTCTGATGTTGCTGGGCAGTATGGCTTGAACAGGTCTACAGTAGGCCGTAGTTAAATCTTATTTAAGAAAGATACAGTATAATCAAGAAGACTCAAGCAGCTAAAGGAGTAACAAAAATCACATCTGAGAAATAAAGAGCATTGAAGAGCTCATAATGGAACCTGAAACTGTTCTGATGACAGAAGAACGCCAAGAACTTTTGAATGAAGAACACTAAGAAACTTGGCAAGATATATTTTCTTCTGAAAAAAAGGATTAATGCCAATATCTGCTATTAAAGATCTTTTGAAGAAGTAGGAGGATGTCAGAGCAACAGTCTTAGAATGGCATCCAAATCAGGTTGAGGTTAATAGACTTAGGGATCTCTACAATTACAATGCTATTAATTACTTCTGAAAAATCCTGAAGAGGAGAGAAAAGTAATCGACATTGGACAGATTCTTTAACCCTACAAATGAAAAAGACATGACTAATAATAATAATGCAAGACTTGTATATATGTGTTTTTATTATTACATATAAATAAATGTAGTAAGAAAGTGTATATTTTTTATTTTTTGGGGTCTCCAGAATGAATTAATCAAATTTCCATAAAAACCTATGGTAAATTGATAATCAGTTAACAAACAATCCAGATAGTGAACAAAGTCTTGGAACATATTATGTTTGTTAACCAATCACGTGCTGTATATTAATTTTAGAATGTACTGTATAATGAAGTTCTAACAATAGCTTCTCTAATAATTAGGCATGACAAGGCAAATGGCAGCAAGCTATAGGTACAGTAGAACATTGATTATCCGAAACAATTCGGGACTGGGGTTGTTTTGGATAACTGATCATTTATGAAAAATATATTAAACACAAAACTGTACTGTATATATTTTGTATCGCACTTATACTACTTTATGTAAGAAATGTATTTATATTAAAGTAGGCCTACAGTTTAGGTTGGCAGGGAGGGGGAGAATGCTGCAGGGCCAAAGCGCTAGTGACAATTTGAATTTGCTGACTGGAATGCTCTCAGTTAACCGATGTTTCAGTTGAGCGGTATTTGGATAATTGATGCTCTTCTGTACTTGCAAATCAAGCATGGAAGAGCATACAAGAAATCAAAGTAATTAAATTATATTAAATTTAATTAACTTTTATTAGAATTATTTGACATGGGTGATTCTATGATCACACCCACTGTCATTCATCTAACAATACCTGGATGAATTATTAAGCTTTGCCCACAGGAAAACAAGCAACTGGGGTTTAGAATTATGCTGTCTAAAATTATATTTAGAGTGTAACTTATGTTGTTAAACTTCTCTCCACTATTGGAATAATGTAACTCTGAAAAAAGGATCAAAAGTTTCCACTCAGTTTTTAGTTTTTTTTTGTTGTGATCTAGTCTCAACCCTTAACATTTGACTACTCAGAGGAAGGTTTAAACTAACTAAATGCATTGTTTATGTTGGAATCAACGATCGTGATGTTTTGTAATGTTCTTCTGACGTAATAAAAGGTTGGTGGCGCTCTTGACCCCTCAGGAAAGGTGACCTCATTTCACTCTCCCCTTTCTAGCGCTGACCTTCCATGAGTAAAGACTGTGTAATCGTTGTGCATTCTTTATCCTTTTGTTACACAACTGGTTACGTTAATCCAACTGTCTTTTTACTAATCTCTCCGAAAAGCAACATCTAGTCTAACAGTTTATGGATGAATGCTTTTAGTAGTTAACTTTGTTCACTACTTAAGTAATTTTGCATTTCCTCATAATAATATCTTTTCACAACACTCGAGGATTTTAATCTTTACCAATCAAATTGGAGAATTAACAATTAAACTCATCATATCAAGTAACACAACTGTTAGACAAGAGGAAAATTCTTTTGTTCTTAGTTCATTATGTGATGACTACTGTAACCTCATTTTCAGAATGTGCATATACCTCCACATAGTTGACTGCTTAACACAACACAACTTATGGTAAACAATGTGTCAGCTATTCTGAATCAAACTTGACAGATGCCTTGGCTATCATATAAAGACTTTAATATATACTTTGACATCCCTTCAGTTTTTACAATAATTTAAGTTGAAATTAAGTGTACACTTTCTGGACAAAATGAAAAAGCTTGAACATAAACATATAATGTACTCTAATAAACAGTGCTTTTTCTAATAATAATCATCTCTAATAAACACAGCTGAAAGTTTTTTTAGACCTAGTGCTGTTTTTAAAACTATTAGACTATGGTAGTGTATTATTTTCTCCCTGTGGACACTAAAAGGCCTTTACCAAGCCAATCATGAGTTTGACAAGGCTAGAAAACCTAATGATAGTCCCAATGTTTTTAAATGTTGCTAAATATTTTATCCTATACATCTGTAATGATGCTAATTAGTGAATTTAAGGCAGACTTGTTAAAAAAAGCTTTTAATATTTGGAACAATTCAGGAAAAATCTAAATATTCTGGAAATATATTGGCAAGTAAATTTTATATTTTGCTTTATTATTTACAAATTTTTTAATGTTTATCAAGAGTTTTAATTACTTTCAAAATACTGAAATATCTTTATTTTTTTTTTAATAGCCTGTAAGTTGGACAAGACACACCGGGAATGTTTCTTTAGTCCTGTGGTTAAGAAAAACCTTGCCCATAGTTTACTATTGAAGAGAGTAAGAAATGTTTACTTCTTTTATAAATTATATTGATAAGTTCCCCAGAATGCAATATTTTTTTTAAATAACTCAATATTTTGAGTGTACTAATTAAAATCATCTTGAACATTTTAAGTAAATCTTAGTTTATCTCAAGAATATTTTTTGTCTTTAAACAAAAAAAAATCACTTAAACTGTGGCCATTTAATATATTATGGAATGTATACTTAAATTTATATATAAATTTAAAAAAATTTTTACTATTCCAAATCTAGTAGTTTACAAAATGCATCCAAGTAAAAAAGTTGATTGGCTAGTGATTATGGTGTTTGTGGATGTGATAATTCCTAGAAAATGTAAAGTATTTTGACAGGCTATATGAGCCATTCACAGGCCAAATCGATTAACATTTGTAAATTCTTAATATAATTGTAATTATTTTTACATTTTTTGCATAACTAATTTTATACATTGTTACATTAAAGCTATGCTTTAATTTAATATAATGGTATATAAAGATACACTCTACAATGGTTATTTAAAGTTTTGTGGCTACATGCCATATTTTAAACCGTATATGTATATATATATCTTCACTTCACTTCACCTTCATCTGTCCTATTTGTTTACTCTTCTATAATCTTATCGTCTTCCCATTGACTTTAGTGTGTGGGTGGACTGAGAGAAAAGGAATGAATGGAAGGCTTCTGAGAGGGGACATGAGTGGACTAAAGTGAGGGGAGGAACGAGGGGGAGTTAAGAAGGGGGAGAACGAAGGGAGTGAGTGGGGAGGAAAAACGAAGGCAGATTGGAAGTGAGAGGAGAAGGGAAAGGACGGGAGACGGAGAGGAAGGAAGTGGATAGGGGAGGTGGTAAGGAAAGCCTCCCCTGTAAGTTGGACATCATATGGTGAGAAGAGAAATAGAGAACTTTAGAACTAGAGGAAGAAAAAGGAACTTAAATGAGAGGAACCAGACGGATCACCCCTTTTGGATTGATATCTCAGTGTGAAACAAGAATTGAGTGAATCAGCCCTTCCCCCCAGACCAGCGAGAAGCCTCATCCACGAGCCCACACAATTCAACTTGCATCATTAAGTTTTGGGTACCCTCTTTCCTTATTCTTTTCTTTCACCTTCTAAATCTTCGAATAAGCTGGCTATATTCAATTAGTTTAGTAATAATAGGAACCTAGTATTAAGTAAGATAATTTTAGTTAATCGGATGTTCGGTTCGGGAAAAGGGGACAACTAGAATTGTTGGTATCCTATGAAATCCTGTATTTGGACTAGCGAGTTAATAAATAATTGTATTTTATGTTACCTAATCTGGATTGTGTGTCTTTATATAACTCGCAGATCTTGCAGTTTAAAAGAAATTTTAAAAAATAATTTAAATTATAAATTTTTATACTTTGTTTTACGGAGTTAATTGATTTAGCAAGTAAGCAGCCCATATATTTATAAACAAACAACAGCTAACCCGAGAAGTGATAAAAAGATAACAAATACAAAAATTTCAGTAATTAAACTTTACTTTTTAAATGTAGTTTGTTTAAATTTAGATTGTGCTGGGACCTTGTAGAGATTCAGAATGTGAAGTGAATGTTGTAGAAATTGAAACAACTGATTATGAAGATAATGTAATTACTGCAACACTTGCAGTACTCCAGTCAACAAGGGAAAAAAGATTTGCTGAGGTAAATACATACTGAATTTTAGCAACTTGAGTGCACTCATGTTGAAATATTTAATGACGTGTTTAATTTATCTTGAATTTGATTATTTTTTTACTTTTCTTATGATATGTAGTATTATTCCAGTTGTTCTCTCAAATTAAAAAGAAAAGGCAGCATAGTTTATTATTCATGAACAAAATTTCAGTGTGTCCTCAGTTATGAATAAAATTACATTTTTCCATTTCACCTATTATGCAAAAAGTTGTTACTTATAATAGTGTTCAGTTTCATAACTTAGATGCACTGAACCAACAAGGAAGTGTCAAACAAACTTCAGCTTTATTAACTCTCTCTCTATAGACTCTTGGCCAGTGTTGTCTTTCAGTTTTTTGCTAAATCTTTCTATTCTTCATGCTATTCTTCTTTCTCACTAGAACGTAAATTGAGTTCTCTAGAATAGTACTTTCCTAGACTTTAGTCATGTAAAACTAAATTTTATCATGAGAATTGTGATCCTATTAAACTTTAGGATTTTTTAAATGCCACATTTGAAAACCTCAGTTGCAAATAGAAATGTTAACTATATCATTTCTTCAAGTTAAAAAGAACTTAAGCTTAGTTTATACATCTCTCCCCCCAAAATTAGAGGAATAGCTTAGCAAATGTTTCTTTCCCCCACAAAAAAATTGCTTGCTACTTTCAGGTATTTTAACCTCTAGCAATATCATATTTTAAGCACTTAGTTGTGCTTAATAACATTAGTGTCTTAATTTTTTTTACAGGTTTTCATTTCCTATGTCTGCCTTTCATTTTTAGGCTAAGTATGTTTGTTTATTATTGTTTAGTTTGTTGCCTCACAAAAAAAAAAACTGCCATGGATACTACTGTATGTATGTTTTGGTATTATACTTTCTAGTATTGGTTTCTTAAAACCAAAATGATGCAAAATATATTCTTTATTTTTCTCATTTTAAAATTTTAAATTCTTTTTCCACCAGAATTTTGTTTGGAATAAAAAGTTCAGATGAAGATCAAACTTATTAATCATTATTTAGCTAAAACTATCAAGTGCCTTTTTATTCTATTCATCCAGTATTCTAAGTCTGTTTTTTTTTATTTTTCATAAACAGCTTATCTATGAACAAGCAGTGTTTTTATTTCTTAGAACTTTACACTGGTCTAAAAGTTTAACTTTGCAAAAAAAATGAGTTAACTTGTTTATAAACTCTTCTAGTTTCTCACAGAATAAACTTAATTTTTATTCTAACTTACATATCTTAATTTTTTTTATTTTAGACACAATTAGATATAATGATTCCCAGACAACAAGTGACGTTAAAGTTGGTTGAAGGATCCGGACCTGTATCAATTTTTGGGCATCATGTTACAGGTAACTAAAAGGTTGAATTTGTTTTTTTCTTTCTTTAAACTTGAACTAAGTGACTAAGTTTTTCATTTGTGTGTGTAATGCATGCAGAATATGTAATGACTCATTTAGAAAATGGCATTAATAAGTTGCTTTAGATGAGAGGGGGGATTTAAGATAGTGCTGGCAAAAAATGAAGTTTTTTTTTATATTGATAAACCAGTTTAAAATATCAGATGCCAAGTTAATTTAAAAACTCTTTGAATTCAATAAATTTAATGTTTTTTAATAATAAAAAGTGCAATAATAAACTAATATTTACTGTAATACTGTAAAGATTCAAGAATATGCTTATATCATGTATTTCTGCCAAGATAGGCCATTGTTTTTTTGATGTTGGTAAATGGAGTGTAAATAGCATTTGAAAATATTTTTTTAAAAAAATCATTTTTAAATTCATGCTAGTTTGTTCTTTAATTTTTAAAATTTAAATGTGAATAATCAATTTATTGTGATATTATCAAAATGCTGAGCTGCAATTTTTAATCATATTAATTTAAAATATATATTTTCCTCCTCAAATTAGTAGTGGCCTCCCCCTGTACGTAATACTTTTCCTTTAACAATAGTTGTGCCAGTCATCTATCTAACACCTTTTTAGGGGAAAATTTTTGAATTGAAATTACATGACTTCTGGTTTGGTTTGCATTCGAAATTTGTATATAGTTAATTGGGGCCTCCTGCTTCTAAGGTTTCCATATCTTGTCTCATCTTTCATCTATCTAACATTGTTCTTGAGATTAAGGAAAGACAGTGGGAATTTATAGGTCTACAATTTTTTCAAATTGAAGCCCAATAATGCATGGCATAATTTGAAAAAAGTGGATAGTGTTTAATAAGAGTTTTTCTCTAGAAAGTTGTGTAAAGAGATCTACCAATTGATTTCATGTCTAAATCAGATGTGCCAGATTTGTAATTTTTGTATTGATACTTTTGCACCTAAAAAATTTCTGGTATGAAAGGCTTTGATGTATCCACAAATTAGAAATAACTATGGGTTAAAGAAATTAAAGATGCCCATCCTGTGGTAACTGTTTTAAATTAATCAGGCTCATCTATGTGTTTGGCCATACCCACAATAGGGTGGCTGGATATGAAGGCATATTCAACCACTCTATTGTGGGTATCGCCAAACATCCAGATGAGCCTGGGATTGGGCCTGACGTGACATCCAGAACAGACCATTCCAAAAATTTTTTAGTTTATTTTCAGTCTGCTGGATTTGTTCTTAGGCCCCAAATCATAGGCTGACACCTTACTCATTTGGCTGTTCAGCTGTCGTCCATACATCTTGAAGGTCCCAAAACATATGTAATACTTTCTTGAAACACTTTAATTAGCAATAAAACTATGACTAATGCTTTCATGTCTGATTTGTCCCCACTTAGCAGTGCCCAATATTTTATCTTGAACAAAAAAAAAAA